GTGATTAGACACCTTGAGTGATCTATAATCACGTCAATCGTTCGGAGCGGACTTAGTAGTATATATAGGAGAATAGGAGCTTTATCTGTTGACGCACTATAGTCCTTTTGTTGCTCATGCTCTATCCAAAGCCCTTGCGCTTGCAGTGGCGCGAAAGCACATTACATGGTTAGGTGAAGTCCTCCTGTGACATAGTCACAGGATCGGAGGACTACTCGATCTAGTAAATGAATAAATAATTTTCCATTGTTAATGGACTAGCCCGGCGCGCACTTGGCACTCCGCACTACTTTGTAGCCCGGCGCGCAAGTGCTCCTTTGTTGACCATTCTGCCGTTTTCTCAGAAAAGGCAGTAAGTCCATATTTGCCATTTCGAGATATTGCGACTTTTGCGTTTACAGTTTATGGTTTTTTCTCCGCTTACTTCGATCGAAAGTAAACACGTTGAGTTATCAATAATTAGTCAAATTTTAATTTGTCAAAAAAATTAAAGCTTTGAGCCGTCCATAAACTTAGATATAACCATTTTTATGCCAAATAATCGAGCTTATTTTTCATACTGGATGGATCCTTACTGCCTTTTCTGAGAAAACTTGGACTTACTTTCTTTTCTGAGAAAAATCTCTGTTCAATATTTTTCTGAGAAGGAAGTAAGTCCAAGCTTTTTACTAAATTTTTGAGGTTTGGATCTATGTATTTTGGATTATATTTTAAAATATAAACAATTAGGTAAATCTAAATTGCTCCATATCACATATCATATAAGAAATGTTTTTGAATAATAGTATGCCCTTATTTAGCATAGGGGGGGGGGGGGGGGGGGGGGCTGAAACCAGGTTTTCGATCAAATGCTGCCATTTGTAGTCAAACGTCGCCAACAGTTGCTCTCGTCCAATGAAATCGCTGCATTTTGCAATTCAGTATGCATAATTGAATTAAATATATTCATATGCGGAGCTTGGCTAACATAATGCAGCGATTTCATTGGACGAGAGCAACTTTTGTATTGGCGATGTTTGACTACACATGGCAGCGTTTGATCGAAAACCTGGTTTCAGCTCCCCCTGTGAATTAGTAGGCAGTGCGCCATCGAGACAGTAAGACGCGCGCGCTGACCATTGAATGATTTTTAGCTCTTATTTCGGCCAGCACATTATTTTGGAAACAATCGAAAAGTTATAATACTTCCCATATAACAATTTTGTTGAAATTTGGTCAGCTTACGTAAACACTTATTATGTTCTACTGAACCTAATTTAGTTTGAGCAATTTCGATGGTCAGAATTTGAGTTATCAACGAATTTATACCTATTTTGTCATTTTTAGACCTTTTAATCAAGGCCAATCTCTCCCAACTAAATTAGGTTCGGTAGTTAATTGGAGGACTTCGCCGCTTCGACGCGCCGCGCGAACTAGCATTCTTGCTTCACATCGTCGATCGTTGCTCTGCTTCGCAGAGCAACGATCTCGACGGATTGACATTGTCAATCAAGGTAGTTAAGTATGATTGGAAGGTTCTGACAAATTTTCAGCATGATATTCATGTTCAGGAACCGAAGATATGACAGAACAATATGACAAAAATCAACGAATTTCGTCAAATTACTCGACTTTTACACCTAATTTTGCTCCAAAAGCCGCGCAACATCAAATATGGCACCTAGGCGAAGGTCACTGATCATTCCAAAAAAGTATAACAAATTTGGTACTGTGAAAATTCTCACAGTCTCTAGAAAACAATGGTACAAAAATTTTGAAAATCCGAGCAAGTTTATTTTTATCGTGCACCCATTATGTCATGGGGGCCGGGGTGATTTTACTGGGCCGCGCTCAGCCTGTCATTCCGCCAAATCTATATGTTAATGAACATAATAGCCTGGGGTCCTCAGGTAAGGGTGATTCAAAATCACTCAATCAGCATTCAGCGTGCGAAAATACATCGATCCAAGTTGGTCTCAACTATCGGGGGCCCTATCGGCTATCTCTATAAAATCGACTGTAGAGTGATTTAGCACGCTCGATCCCCTGCGCGCGCTTGTGTTAAATCACATAAAATTAAATGTGTGTGTCTCTGATCGTATGTCTGTCTGTCTGTGCGTGTGTAATTTCCGGTCGGTTATATTTTTAAAACGGTAAGAGTTACGTAACTAATTTTTCGGTATAGACATAGTGCCGACAAAACTCTGACGAAGCCCATAAGCAATTTTTTTTAAATCGGCCGGTGGTAAGTGGTTTAATTGATGGTTTTGTACCACAAATGTTACATAAAATGGGTTGAGCAGCTTAATCAAGAAAACGGTAAGAGGCATATGTAGCTGCATAATTTCGGTAACAATTCAGGACTTAATAATTAAGTTTATTGCACGTGCGATGAATAATTTGTGTTTATAGAGATTTGCGGCGCGGCATCAGGTTAACCAATTAAATAAAATCACGGCGTTTTCGTCGCGTGACACTGACAGGCTAGTAATAAACGCGAATTTTATTGTTTAGGGCTCGGGTTAAGGTTGCCGTTATGGTTATGAATAGCTTTGGGGTTATGGTTAGGGTTTGCAGATTAGGGTTTATGTAAAACAGTTTTGTTCAGGTGCAAAACCATGAACCATAAAAACGAAAGTCTGATATGTGTCTGATGATATTTTTTGGGCGAGCGAATAAGTAAAAGCCTTGCCCATCGTTAATGGTTAACTTACTTCGAAGAAATTTAGACGAATATCAGTAACATCCGTCAATTTATGTGGTTAAAGACTTGTTGATAATTTGTCTTAAATACAAAATGCGTGCCTGACCCATTTTTTCATGAGGTAAATTCATTTTTGGTTTGACTAATAATGACAAAAGTAAAATGTTAGAGATAAGTTAGAAAATAAAAGTAGAACAGTGCAAAACATTATTGCAATTAAAGGACCAGTTAACTGAAAAATTTGTAGTCTCCAATTTGGCTAAGATTTAAATCAGCTGTGACAAACTGGTAAAAAATTGTATCGCCGAAAGAACCAACTCTCTAACTTACGTGTAACGCGTGTTATTGCAATAATAAGCTGTGGCCGCGTGACGTCATAAAGTCCCTCAGTGCGCGCTGGCATAGCGTAATACAATGCACAAATGTTTATCATCGTCAATAAAACACGTGTAACTCACTCAAATTTTATAGTTATGACTATTTCCCTAGTTCTCCAAAATCCTTATAGTTTTGGCTATCACCCTAACTATATGAATAGCTGATTGGATGTACAGTGCTCACGTCAGGATTTTAAACAGTGACATAAGTTCTTGAACAGTGGCTGGTGAATGTACGGTTAGAAAGTTTCTGCTATTACAAGTTATGTCATATGTGATAATTTTTGATTGTTTTCATTGCTTCATTAAAACGAAGGGAGACTGTACCGATAATTTTTCCCCAGTCCATGAAACTAATACACAAAATAATGTGCTATATATTAAATATAGCTGATCAGAGTGTAACTCTGTAATATAATATTACAGTTGTTCGGAAGAATGCGAGCAGTCGAATGGTTCGCTGTCCTAAAAGACATAGTTCCGAGAGCAATTATATTTTTAGCATAGCGAAATTTCTTACTTTAATCCACACGTGCCAGACAGTACAGGAGACAAGAAGTCTGGCTATTTTACGGCCGTTCTCATGGGACCATTAGTAGAAGTAGCTCCTATCAGAACGGTGCCGTGGGAACTGAAAAATACCCGGTCTGCTAAATACTGATTGGAGTGTACAGTGTGCAGAGTGTTTTGAATTTGACTTACCTAGTTATCGTCCTACTTGTATGATCATCGGTACTTACCATAAATAAACTACAGGTAAATTTAAATACCAAGTGCAAACGTGTTCAGTCAATCGACCCACTGAACAACTATAGAATTTCCAAGACCCTATTATTCTTTGACCCTATTATTCTTTGGCCATATGTATTACGGCACGATCGATTCTTAGATGGCTAAACGACAAACGTTAATCTATACAATTCTTAAACTATGAGATAGCACTTTAATCTAAAAATACACTTTTTATATTACTCCTGATTTTTACATTTCAATTTTCACGTAAAACATTGTAGTCATAGTGCATAGGTTGATCATGGACACTGACAGCTTAATTTTAGATAATAATGATTTATGAGTTTCTCTAAAGTTAACTCTAAACTTGTGTAGTCCAGTCATTTATGGAATTGAACCTGCAAATTTTCGTATACTCACGAAATTTTGCAAAGACCTTCCCAAAAGTATGAATAAACGATTTTCGGTTGGAGACATATTGACCACGCCGATACTGACCCAATAACGTAACCGACCTTTTGCTTCTGAAGGTCGTAGAGACTTCTAAATAGGCTGAAACGAAGCGGCATATGCATGTTTATATAGGAGTTACTGAGCAACACATGGCCTAAAATCCTTACTTTTCGAGAAATTTGCCAAAAACCATTTTGGGCGTGGTGCTGAGCCCATTTTCGATAGGATCGTGATAGAGTCTTTAGACAGGGTTCAAAAGAACCGAAATTAGCATATCTATATATGACTTACGAAGAAACAGATGCCTTAAAGTGCTTACTTTTTCAGTTATTGGCGAAAAACTGATTTCCGGTTCCAGAAATCATGCAAAAATATGGGTATCTTGTAAATTGGGCCATGAAGGCCCTACAGATTTTTGAATGGGTGCAAATTGTGCAGAATGGCCATGTTTATATACAACTTATGAAGCAACATGTACCCTAAAACACTTACTTTTCGAGTTATTTGGGGGAGAACCATTGTATTATGTCCATTTTTACCTGTAAAATACAGTCTCACGAGCTCTTCTGTGCGCGCAAGGGACTTTATGACGTCATCGCCAAAATAATACAAACGGTAATTACACGCGTTAGAGAGCAGTTAGAGATTTAGGAATTTCGACTCGTTGCTCAGTTTGCTATTTGTCACAATCTGTCAAAATATGAGGATAACTTTTTTTTGAGTTAACTGGTCCTTTAATTTAAAACTAAGTTGCAAAACTCCCAAAAATATGAAAACAGAAATGTCTCACAAAAATCAGCACGAACAGCACGTGATGCTATTTATATTTTAAATAAAGCATATAAATACTTTTTTAACAATATCATTCGCCCAAAAAGTTTTAGCTTCTAAAGTAATTAACTAAACCTTTGGGCTTTGAGAAAGTTATCAAATGTTTAAATCCAAAATTTTGCACCAACATAAAATTACAAATTATTTTTTTCAAGTCAGTGCAATAAAGCAGTATTCATAAATAAAATTTCCCACAGTCCATTTATCCTTGCCAACAAATTAGAAGCTCTATAGTTTTTATTTCCGATCTGCGGTTGATTTTATAAATTTATGATCTCACTTGTGACTTGATCATTTAACGTTCGTGGCTTTGCATTCCCCCTCCACATTGTTTAGATAAAGGAAAATCGATCTGAAAATGTGAAGAGTTTAAGTTTTACGAGAAAAATTTGCAACATTAATTGTGAATTAAACTTTATAACAATGTCATTTTTATTACACTTGGACTATAGAACGAGGAATAAAATCATGTACCTTTATAATAGAGCAGTAAAATGTTGGATTTAGGAGAAACTTTGATTCACCACGTACGTTGTAGATCCATCTGAAAATTAAAAAAGTCTAAGTCGTTGATAGTTTGCAAATACATCCTATTTTGTTATTCTTTCCAATTTTAGCCCATCATGCATTTGATTTGTTAAGCCAATTCTATTCCAATTAAATTCAAACTATAAGTTGTTTCAAAACTGTTACCAACAAACCTGAATATTATATTAGTGTATAGTTAGCAGGTTAAAGGAGAAAGGTTGGACATCCGTTGGAAAGACTGGAGACACCCCGGTTTGCAGTTTACTTCTGAAATTTATAAAAACCATGTGAGCGTTATTTCTATACCCTTTCCACATTTGAACATGTAAAATAGTGAAGAGTTTTACGAGAAAAATTTGCAACTTGCGAATTAAACTTTATATAAACAATGTAATTTTTATTACACTTTGAGTTGGACTATAGAACGACGAATAAAACCATGTACCTTTATAATAGAGCAGTAAAATGTTGGATTTAGGAGACACTTTGCTATACCACGTAGGTCGTAGATGAAGATCCATCTGAAAATAAAGAAAAGTCTAAATCGTTGATAGCTTGCAAATACATCCTATTTTTTATTCTTTCCGATTGTGTTTGATTTGTTGAGCCCATTCTATTTCAATTAAATTCAAACTATAAGTTGTTTCAAAACTGTTACCAACAAACCTGAACAGTATATTGGTGTAGAGTTAGAAGGTTAAAGGACAAAGTTAGCACTAGTATGAGCGAGCGGACATCAGTTGGAAAGATTGGAGACACCCCGGCCCGGTTTGCAGTTTAGTTCTGAAATTTATGAAAAACCATGTGAGCGTTATTTCTTTACCCTTTTCACATTTGAAAATGTGAAATAGTGAAGAGTTTTACGAGAAACATTTGCAACTTGCGAATTATAACTTTATAACAATGTAATTGTTATTACACTTTGAGTTGGACCATAGAACGACGAATAAAAACCATGTACCTATATAATAGAGCAGTAAAATGTTGGATTTAGGAAACACTTTGCTATACCACGTAGGTCGTAGATCTATCTGAAAATAAAGAAAAGTAGTTGAATTAGTTTGCATCCTGTTTTGTTATATTTTCCAATTTTAGCACATAATGTGTTTGATTCGTTCAACCCATTCTATTCGGGTTATTTTGATTGGATTAAAAACGCTTGAATTTTTAATTTGTTTTTAAACCACTCTACGGCCATGTTGATAATCATAAATAGTTTGTCTCTCTTCAAATACGAAATTTAAAAAATTGTTTTTAAGAAACTACTCACAAACCCGAAGTTGGAAGTGAACACCACAGTTTTGACCTGAAATGTACAAAAAACCGTGTGAGCGTTATTTTATTAGATCAAATAGCTACAATTGATAATTGTAGCTACCACCCCGACAGGCCCGGTATAACTATATTATAGAGGTTTCACTGTATTTTAAATTTATAAGTTTAAGAAGGAAAATTATGTAATGAAATATGTATTTTACTTACATGTGCTGTTGCGAGGTTGAATTTAAGAAGTACACCAGTTAACTGTGTCGTAAATCCAGCTCAATAAAGCTTTTAGATGATTTCGGAATGACAGAGGGAAATTTTGCTGATGAAATGATTTCTGCTTCATTGTTATTACTTTGAGAAGACTGATACAGTCTACAAATTGATATTTGCTCAGCAAATAGTTTTAAATATACAGTTTTTATGGCTCTGGAAAGCCGAGGACGAATTAAATGGACAAAAAGGTAATTCATCAGACTGGTGTGGTCGACTGAGGGTGGTCGACTGATGTGGTTGACGTAGCTAAAGGTTTGTACGGAGTTTTTTTACTTTCTTTACTTTTTTTACTTTCTTTACCTTTGGTGGACATCTTGACAAACAGACAGAGTCCAGCAACAAGGACGATATGAAGAAAAATTGCCAGACCCATGACCAGAAGTTCCACTGACCCTCTTTTCTGACTAACAATGAAGGTCCATACAACAACTCCCATGAACATTATACTGATGAAACCAGCGAGAAGGAGCTTCTTTGTTTCTTTTCTTAGTGACGAAGATCTTCCTTTAAATGGATGGAAAAGGTCTGAGACCATGACCATTGCTGATACCGAGAGCACTAGAGGAATTATACAAAACCATCCCAAATATTTGAAATAATTGAAATGCTTACCGCACGGATACCTTTGTTCGATGATCAAAGCTGCGACCAAACCCTCGCAGATAAATGGGATTGCACGGACAGCTAGATTTTTCCTCTTTCTCAATGACTTGTAAGAAACGTCGGAGGGTTTTAAGAAGTAAGCGTCAGGGTTTCTTAGAAACGCTATCGATATTAGAAACACATCTCTGATACTAAACAAGACCATTCGCCATAAGATTGGAACACTTTTAAGGGAAAGTCCTGTGGAGTTCGCCTTGAGGCTATAAAGGTTTACCAAGAGTTCCATTATCACTCTGAAGATGATGAACCCAAACACATACTCCTTTATAAACAAAGCATGCATTACTGCTGCAAACATGAACAACCTGGCTGGTATCATCAATGTATAGGATGCTTGGAAAATGATCTTTGAAAAAGTGGACATTTGAGATGTCATTGGGTCCAATTTCCTAAAGCCATCTTCCAAAGAAGCAATTCCCGAGGGAATGTTGAAAAATGGAATTGCCATTGAGAATATACGAAACACAGTGCCACATGTTCCTAATCCTGTATCAGATAGTGGGAGATTTTCACAAAATAGGTTTGTGTCGTTGGTGATGTTTGTATTCATACGGTGATAATCGAAATAGTGATAACATTCACCGGCAAACTGTTCAATATCTCTTTGGGAAAGGTTGTTGATCACTATTTGAAATGTATAGAACTGAACCAGGAGTTCTGGCAATTGTTCCAAAATCAAGTAAAACTGTTTCAAGCTATTCTGTTCTGCTTGACGTCTGTAATACTCACGCAAGCTTATTGGTTCGTGTAGGAATATTACTAACCTATCCACGACTGGCCTTAATTGGAAACATGTCAGTAGGTTGTAGAATATCGCTCTTAGCTTACTCAGAAAACTTCCCTGTAGCTTGAAAGGCCAAGATAGCCTGTAAAAGAACATTTTAAACTTATTCCAGCTCCAGTTTAAGTTTGATTCGCTCCATTCTTTGGCAGATAACACGAAAATCCCAAACTTTATTCTCAGAACATCTTTCTCCGTTGTGTATACACTGTCAGCAGATCCGAAGTTCTCATGAATTAAAGTGAGCGATACCAGAGCAATCTCAAATATCCCTAGCTTTTGAGAAAATCCGTTGAAATCTGAAATGCCAACTACTAAATCAGTGTACAAGTCTAAGATGTATACGACAATTCCTAGGAGACATAAGAATCTCCCCATCATTCCTATTGCAGAACAGCTGTGGTATACTCCTGAGGGATTTGGCAGGCAAAATGAACAGTTAACGTTGCAACACTCTTGCGTCTTTCCCACTGCTTTGCAGCAATATTCCTTAACTTTTTTATCCTTCATGTATTCTGCGTAAATCTTTTGTGCAATTACAGTAAGTTCTTTTGTTTCTCTCTTCTCAAATATGTTATTAGTAGTTGCCAATTTTTTAATTTTTCTCCGAAATTGCTTATAGATATCGGAGCTGAGTCTACTCTCGAGAATTTCTCTTGTGGGCTGATTACATAGAGTTTTTGCTTGAAGAGCAATGTATACGGTGTGTAGAAGAGTCGTCTCGCCTGACCCGCTTGACCGTTTCAAGAATTCTTTAACGAGGGGAATATACAGATCTCCTCCATAAAACGTAAATCTGTGCTCAGGGTCATCCATAATACCTGGCAATTTGTCGATCGCTTCTTTCAGAATATTACTTAAGATGCTCTTGACATCATCATCAAAATCGTCCTTAATGTCTAATTCCTGAACGATAACAGCAGGATTAGAATATTTGCCTCCATTTGGAAAAGCACGGAATAAATCTTGTAAGTCATTATTGGACCATATCTTCTGCATGTACTGAAGAACTGACTCATTATTTATAGCTGTAGTACTGATATCCGCACCGTGTTCTAACAGCAATTTAGCTAACTCTACATCGTTATCACGTACAGCATCATGTAACAGTGTTTCCCCATACTGGTCCTTAGCGTCCACCTCCGCTCCATGTTCTAACAGCAATTTAGCTAACTCTATTCTTGCAGCTACATTTAACGGTGTGTCCCCATTACTGTTCTTAGTGTCCACCTCCGCTCCATGTTCTAACAGCAATTTAGCTACCTCTACACTGTTCTTACTTGCAGCTATATATAACGGGGTCTCTCCATACTTGTTCTTAGTGTCCATCTCCGCTCCGTGTTCTAACAGCAATTCAGCTACCTCTACACTGTTATTCATTACAGCTACATGTAACGGTGTTTCCTTATTACTGTTCTTAGTGTTCACATCAGCACCGTGTTTTATAAGATAACCTGCAATCTCTTGTTTATCTTGTTCTGCTGTTTCATGAAGTACTGCACTCTTTTTATTTCCACCTTTAGCATTGTAGTCCAGGTTGTTGATAGTGTAAACATCCAACAATTCTGTCAAGTTTTCTTCATTTACTTTTTCTTGTATAGTTCTCCATATCGGGTCACTGATTATGGTTGCCATGTCTGAAAGGAAAATACATTTATAATGTTTAAGGATGATAACTCGTCAAGAATATGTGGTAGACATTAGGTTGCATTTAAATTGAGAGAGAGGACCGCGCTTACAATTATTTAATAGATTTTAACGATCAACATTTTCTTATTTTGGCGACAAAATCCTTGATTGAATAGTTACGACAGTATGCCATCTGCAAAGTTACAGGTCTCTAAAATGAAAAATGGCTAAGTAATGAGCCCAAACGTTTTCACACAGATTCCTTCCTCATTTCTTGCGAATAAGAATGGACCATCGACCTCATAATATTGTTGTCGTTTTGAAACTTAGAAATCTAGTATATTCTCGGCTCATATGGGCCTCTTCGGCCAGCCCCAGAACTTTCCGCGTGCCCCAGGGATTCTTATATCAATTCTAACTCTAAACTGGCACGACTTAGTCATGCCCCTGCGCACGTGCAAGCGCCATTTTGATCACGTGCGAGCGCCATTTTGATCGGTTACATTATCGGTTACATTTTCATCAGCTGTATCTTCGGTTGTGAGTTGTAACCAGTGGCGTAACGTTGCCTGTCTAGAGAAAAACGTGTAGTTTTGCTAGAACCTCAGTTAAGTTTTTCAAAATTGTCCCACATTCAAACGACGATTTTCCCTCCCACCCCCCCCCCCCCCCCCAGAGGGGCCCTTCGTTACGCAACTGATTGTAACGGATATTGTTTGATGCGATAAAAAATGACTACCATAAAGAATAAATAATAATACTAGCTTCATCACAACGGGTGTTTTGGTACATTATAAAAGACAAGAAGTAATTGTGACAAAACGATCCTAATTTCAACTTTCGAGCTGCAAATATATATATATAGTACAGACAGATCCGTCTTAAAAAATCATTCTACCGACACAAAAATAAAGACTACGGATGAATAATTAAAATTCCACTAGCATCTTGTTCCCTTCATTGTGCTGATTCCGGGAAAAATTCTCTTTACGCTCCCATCATACTGTAAAATGAGATATCGTTCATTTAAAATTGGGTAATTATAGGACTGTCAAGGTGAAGGATTGCAACCCAATTAATCACTAACAATTAAATAACTAGGTTAATTAGTTGTCATAATTGGAAAATATTTCACTTAACTTCATGCATTGATTGAGGCATTAAAACTTTGTGTAGGCTTATTTTTGTTGCGGGCAACGATTTCCTAGAGACTAGCGAAAAGTAATACAATACAGACAGAACCGTCTCAAAAATCGAACTATCGACACAATAAGACAATAGAAGCTTGCTTAGGATTTTTGACGTTCTTGAGTCCCATTGGCATAAGATGCCCTTTAGGCCTTTATGGCTGACCAATTTTTCCTAACTTTTCCTAACTTTTCCTAACTTTTCCACGTGTCTAAAGGCCACTATGATTAGCCACTTTTCTTGTTTGTCAAATATCTTTAGTTATGAACATCGTATAAGGTTGCAGAGTAATCGAAGGTGTCAATCTTATCAGGGAGAAATTTAAACAAATTGTACGTCAGATGATCAGTTAGTTGGATGATTACAAATTAGCTAATTACCAATTAATATAGGACAAGATATTTGGGGGCCATGATGATCAGCTCGGAATTAGTGTGGTACGGATCGAATAGCATCTGTGGTAATAACTAATACGATCCCACTGGTTCGATCAGAAATGCCAGACAGACCCTTTCCTTGAAGACCTCATCATATGGTCTGACGAGGCCCATTGTGAACTGAATGGAACCATCAACAGCCACAATGCGGTACACTGGGGGACAGAACGGCCCGCAAAAGTACATCAGCGTTCCCTTCATTCTCCAAAGGTCACCATATGGATTGGAATCTGCTCGCACCGCTTCTTTGGACCATACTTCTTCGAGCAGAATGGGCAGACTGTTACTGTAAATGGACAACGTTACTCAAGAGTAACTATTGGTTTCAGCAAGACGGTGCTCTTCCTCATCTTCCTGCCAGACAGTGGATATCTTGACAATATAACAATAGACTTCGAGTAAACTCACACCGCGTCTAATTACGTTTCCAAACCTGGCTCGCACTTAAACTTACCATTTTGTATACCTGCATATCTTTTAACTCGTGTATTGTCAAGGGGCATTATTAAAATTTCACTGTTGATATAAAACACTGCACGCGATGCTGCTGAATACTAATCACATATTGAGTATTGTTATGAACAACATTAAATTAAGGATACTCGCAAAATATGCATTTCAAGATTTTAAAGATACATTTTTTATTTAAATATCCGGTGAATTTTTTTGAAACCGGACCGGAACCGGAACCGGATATTTAGGCCAGATATCCGGCCAGATATCCGGCCAGATCCGGATTCAGCCGGATATCCGGTCGGTTCCTATCAGTATTCCTTAAAATCCAGTTCGTGGCCCATTTCACAACAGCTGATAACAAAGCTCACTAATTACAACCAAATGTAAAACAACTTCTAAGTACACACGTGATGTAAAATGAATCCTGATTGTTCAAGGAAAAAATTTGACATATAGCAAGATATTGCCAATGAAAACAGACCGGATCAGTGAACGGACCAAATGTCTAATCTGCTCCCAGTAGGCTCCTAGTTTGTATCCAACAGAATTAAACAAGAATAACAGGAAAATTAATTATTAATTTAAATACGAAATCTTACAAGGTTAATATAATTAAATATGAACGTCAAATTCATAAGCGTGACCAAACTATTATTAAACTATTGTATTCAGAATAAATGCATCCAAAAATGAGTAAAGCAAGATTTTAAAAATAAAAGTTAATTTAAGACACAACATTTCTCCTGATAACAAATTAAAAAACTTCCTTATGCATGTAGAAATGTTGTCACAAATAAAACAGCGTGATGCTGCTAAAAGATAAGTCACTGCTGTTTACCTGCAGTTAGTGACTATTCATATGTAAGCTCTCCTCCAAATATGTACTTGTGTTTATAAACGCGTATATAAATATAATACGCGTGACAATTTCATCATCAGACGAAAGTTAAGCGCTTTTGAGTTGTGGAGTTATTTGAAAAATTGCGGTCCTCGATAAACTGCGGTGACCTTGATCAGCTTTATATAATAATCGAATTTATTCTGCTCAAGATCAATGATTTGAAGAACCTACAAAGTTTTCCGATATTATTTTGCAGAAACTTTATAATTACATAGAGCCACCCAGACGCTACCACGATCTAATTAGTCAAAATAACATAGTTTAAAAAATGCAGTGGGAAACCTGTGACAGCACCACAACTTGATTATTTGCATATCTTTTAACAAGGCCGGGCATTATTTAAATTCCACTGTTAATATAAAACACTTCCCTAATAACGAGAGGTCCCAAATATACAAACGAATTTAGAGTAGGTACCCACTACCCATGTTGGTAGAATGCGTTACTAAATAAAACAGCGCGATGCTGCTTAAAAATCAGTCATATTTCTGTAGATCATCGAATAGTTACTGTTAGGTTACCAGACTGGCAAAAAATGCAATAAACATTACAAAAACATTCCTGTTGTACATCATTATATTAGCTATAAACAAAGAATAATAAGAATTAGCTATAAACAAAGAATAAGATATAACGAACTAATAACAGATTGAGAACTAACTAAGCATTGTGATGAACAACAAGTTAAGAATACTCGCAAAATATGCATTTCAAGATTTTAAAGATAGATTTTTTGAAGAAATATCCGGCAAATTTTTTTGAAACCGGACCGGAACTGGATATTGAAGCCGCATATCCGGCCAGATCCGGATTCAGCCGGATATCCGGTCGGTTCCTATCCGTATTCCTTAACATCCAGTTCGTGGCACTAATTGCAGCCAAATGTAAAACGACTACATACGTTATTTAAAAAGACTCCTGACTGTTCAAGTAACAAATTCGGCAGAGCAAGATATTGCCAATGAAAGCATACCAGATCAGTGAACGGACCAAATGTCTAATCGGCTCCCAGTTGGCTAATAGTTTGTAAACGACAGAATTATAAAAAATAACAGGAAAATTAATTATTAATTTAAATATGAAATCTTACAAGGTAAATATAATTAAATATGAACGTCAAATTCATAAGCGTGGCCAAACTATTATTACACTATTGTATTCTGAATAAATGCGTCCGAAAATGAGTAAAGCAAGATTTCTTAAAGTTAATTTAAGACACAACATTTCTCCTGATAACAAATTTAAAAAACTACCTTATGCATGTATAGAAATGTTGTGACAAATAAAACAGCGTGATGCTGCTAAAAGATAAGTCACTGCTGTCTACCTGCAGTTAGTGACTATTCATATGTAAGCTCTCCTCCAAATATGTACTTAGGTTTATATACGCGCGACAATTTCATCATCAGACGAAAGTTAAGAGCTTTCGAGTTGTGGAGTTATTTGAAAAATTCTGGTCCTCGATATATTGCGGTGACCTTGATCTGCTTTATATTATAATTGAATTCATTCTGCTCGAGATCAATGATTTAAAGGACCGACAAAGTTTTCCGATATTATTTTGCAGAAACTTGTTGTGCAAATTACATTTAGCCACCCAGACGCTACCACGATCTAATTAGGCAAAATAACATAGTTAAAAAAATGCAGTGGGAAAGAGTAAACTTGTGACGGCACCACAACTTCTTTACCTGCATATTTTTAAACTCGTGTTTTGTCAAGGGGCATTATTTAAATTCCACTGTTGATATAAAACACTGCCCTAATAACGAGAGGTCCCAAATATACAAACGAATTTAGAGTAGGTACCAATGTTGGTAGAATGCGTTACTAATTAAAACAGCGCGATGCTGCCTAAAGATTAGTTATATTTCTGTAGATCATCGAATAGTTAGGTTTTCAGACTGGCAAAAAATGCAATAAAGATTACAAAACATCATTAGCTACAAATAAAGATTAAAATATAACGAACAGATTTTGCTTACAGCTAACCACAGATTGAGAACAAACTACCTAAGTATTGTGA